TATTTATATAATCTTTCTTCATTTCAAATCAACATAAATTAATATTTATAGTAAATTTTCTAAAACTTATGAGATTCATAAATATTTTAAATATTATCTGACAGAAAAATGTAAAATTATCAGTCTTGGATTGTTATTCTAATTAAATATTCTTGTAAATTGGAAAGAGATTCATCAAAAGCATCATATTTTTGAAATTTAAATATGTTTGACGTATAACACATCCAATCATTAACATCATATACATTTATGATCGCATTATTTTTAATAAATATTTCAATATTTAATTGGTAAACCAGGATTATTTATTGCTCAATAGATTTAAATAATTCTGATTCCTAATATATAATAAAGATTCCTTTATTAAATTTTTATTAATTCTATTAATTAGATTAATATAAAAAATACAATATCAACATTTTATAACTATTTTTCTTATTTTATGTCTAATGTTTTTTTTCTAAATCATTGACTAGATTCTTCAGATATTAAAACTCATGTTCTTATTTCTAGAGTTCTTTTTAATAATTCATTTTTCTCATAATTTTTAATTTTCATTTATAGAGATTCTCTAGCTGAATGAATTTAAATAAATTTAGAATAGCTAAAATTGAGTAAATAACAACTTTAGAACCAATCATTTTGGTAATCCTAAGAATTTTCGAAAAAATTGGGATTTTTTTAAGAGTATTGTGACATCTTTTTCTTCTACATACTTTTTATTTAAGAGATCAAAAAATTCTAATTTAATTCATTAGGATTGCCTTTTAAATTTGAATTTATGTGATTAACTTAACAATTATAGGTTGCTTCATATTTGTTATGAAATAATATTTTATATGTAATAATTAATGTTTGATATAATATAAATATATAATGCAAGTTTTAGTAAAAGATGGATAAATTTTGAAATAATCTCATAATAGAATTAATGATAAAAGAAGAAACAGCTTCGAAACTAAAATGAAACCTTTTTCCGATGAATTTGCTAATATTTGTAGATTTGGGATTGACATGAAGAATGGTTCGATAACTTAAAGAATACATTCTTTAAAGAATTTATAAAAGCGAGCATAATTCGTAAAAACTTATATAAGCTGAAGATACTAACACCACATAAACAAAAAAAATTAGTAGCAGTTCAATGTAAATTACCTGCAATAGGATGTACTGAGAAAAAAGCAAGGATCAGCCTCAAATTTCCACCTCAAAGGATGAAAAAAATTTTTTGAGATTGTATAATTAATAATTATAATTATATTCTATGACGCACAATCGTTAATAAGAACGTGATTTTTATGTAGAGATATAAAATAAAAAATTATATATAAAATTAGTAGATGAACACATAAATTTTTTTTAGAATTTCTTGCAAAACTGAGTTTAATTAGCACGTCAAAGTTGTTGGAAACATACCCTAATTAGGGAATTGGAATCCATAAAATGGATTATAACTTCTAACTAATGAGGTCATGTACCCTATATGGTTTAGTGATTATCCATTAGAAGTTTCGGCAAGTACCTTAAATAATTATATGTGAGTAATTTAGCATTTAGAATTTAAAGTGGTAATTATTGATGACTAAAATTGTTATTGGGAAAGCTGTTTCAATAGATAAATGAAAGTTTAAAGCTTGAAGTAGATTGTCATCTTAAATTATGACAACCCTTCGATTCAGGTTTTTGGAATAAAATCTTTAGTTTAAGAACTTGATGTTCCAATTATAGAGTTAAGTATTTTTGTAGTATTAATAGAATAGAGAGTACTAGAAAAATATCTATATAGATTTAAGACTATATGTCTTATACAGATTCAGATTCAGTAAGTTTCATAACTTAATTCATAATAGGAAGACGAAAACAGTCGAAATTCACAGATGACTGAAGATTTATCTCTATTTCCTTCAATAGAGTCCTTTAATAGTTCTTAGTTGCCCTAAGAGGATTAGCAAGTAGATCAAGCACAGATCAATTGAAATAATATTAATCTCATATGAATACTTTTACTATTAAAATTAAGTGAATTAAATTTATAAAAACTAATGTTCTATTTTTGAATTAAGAATAAACATGAGAATGTTAATTTTAGAAAACAAAGGCAAAAAAGTTATTAACAGTTAGTATTAACAACTTATTATTAATTGGAATTAAATAGTAGAATCTTAATATAAAAATTATTTAACCTTTGCATCTATTTAAGTCCGTTCTCTAATGTCAATCTAAATAAACTTTAAAGTTAGATATGAAGCCAAAGTTCATCAACAATTATATATTGTTGGTAATTCTCAACTTTTAGGTGAATGGCATCCATCAAATGGCCTTAAATTAAATACTTATTAAGAAATTTACCCTTTCTGGACAGGAACTTTATTTGGAGATTTTGAACCAAGTATTAAGTTATATCAAAATAAGATTGTCTCATTTTGTTTAAAGCTGTCATTATAGATTTAGATAATATTATATGGGAATAAAACGAAAATAGGGCACTTTACATTAAATATTAATCTCAGAGTGTCATATTTTCATTTAATTCTCATGATGCTTAATTAATGAAAATTAAATCCTTTTTTGATAATCATTAAGAATCTATTGAACAAACTCCTGATTTCTGTAATATATTTATAATTATTTAAAATAGCTGGGGCTCGAAGAATATAGTTTAACAAAACATTTAGTCCTTTAGACTTCGCATATGTTAGTTCTGTAAAATATAATTATGATTCCAATTTTAGGATTCAGAGACTGAACATAGCAATATTTCTTCTTTGTTTAATTCAACTGTTAATTCAAAAAACTCTAGTATTCGCCATTTAGATAATCCTTAAAATACAGAATTAAATTCCTTATATAATTATCAATATTGATTAGCTTTATGATATATATTTTTTGAATTTTATTTCTTAAACAAAAAAATATAATATATTGAAATAATTAATTATATAATTAGAGCAATCATTTTTGATAGAAAATCAACAATTAATTCTGGAATTAAATCTCCTTCCTTCAACTATTTTAAGAAATTCCCTCATTAAAAATATTTTAAATAAAATTGATATTTTTATATTGAAAACATTTATTAAATTTACAATTAATTTCTATTTCATAATAAAATAAGGACTTTAAGTTTAAAATTGAATTCATTCGATTATTAAAAATTCATAAATTTAAAATAAAAAGTTTTAGATCAGCTTATTACATATACATCTAAAAAGATTTATTAAGTAAGTATTAATAAAAGTGGAATATTAATTTGATAATAGATATAAAACACCTATTTATAGTATTGATTATAAATTGTTTAATTATGTAATTGATTGATTATTTTTTTGAATTGATTAAATTACATGAAACATTTATATAATTTTTTTGAAGTAAATTGTTCTGAGTATCATTATTGATATTAATGTTTGAAGATTTTAAGAGTTACTTATTCTAATACTAAACAATTTGTAATATTAGTCTTAAAAATTCTACTAACTAGAATATATTTTGATTCTTCATGCTTTTTTTCTGGTTTATTATTGCAATTTAATGTAATTTATAGAAGAATTTTTAGAAAATTATTGAGAAGCACGAAGAGTATTTGCTTTGACTAATTATATCATTAGCAAAATTTAATGGTTTCATTTTATTAATAAATTTTATATTATTAATGTTCTGTTGTTTAGGTAGGAAAAAACGGGACAATGAAATGGAAAAAAAAAATTGCAAAAAGGAAATGGTAGAGAGATTTATATTACAAAATTGTAAATCTAATGAGGATGTAATTGATAAATTTAATAGAGGATTCTTTGAATGAATCATTAGATGAGAGTAATATGATTATAATAAACGATGTTAACAATTAACATAAATAGAAACCTTGGTCAGGAATTCAGTGGCAAATGATTATCCAAACAAAGAGTTTAAATTAAATTGAATTGTAAAATTGAGTCACTAATTTGAGAGATGAAATAAAAAGTAATATAAGATTTGGAATTTTATAAAATTTAAGACCAGCTACATGGTTTTGGATTACAGACATAAAAAATACATAAATGATAAAGCATTCATCAAATATTTATTAAAAATTGAAATCATGTGAGTCTCAATACGATCAATAAATATTTAAGTGTATTAAATAAATGGATAAAAAAGTATATATTATTATTAAATTTAAGTACAATGATTTAGTTTTTGATATTTTAAGAGCTTATGCCAATTATGATGTTGAAATAGGATTTGTGAAAGGGATTGAATAAATAGTAGAATATTTAATATAATAATTGGATCCTGAATAATACAAAAATTTAGATTACTCATATAATTAATTTAATAGAATGTGTGATTATTATGAGTAAATGGTTTTTTGGATGACTATTCATATTCTATTTAATTTGAATTATCGAAGAATACTAAAATAAAATGTGAGTTTTATTGAAACTGATAAATTTAAGAATACACTTATGCCTTAAATTAAATGTTTGATTGAATAGCTATAAGTTAAAATAAGTGATTTAATTGAAACTCCTTTGTTATTTTATTTTTGGAAATAATTAAAAAAGGAAGACTTTAATAGATTATTCGATGTATTTCTTTTTGAAGGAGAATGTAAGAGAATAATGATTTATAATAGCTATACTACTACAAATTCTATTAAAATTTTTAAAAATATCAGAAGAACTAGTTTGTTAATTTTAAACATTAGCAGATTTAAAGATCTTTCTAAATTAAACATTAATTCCATTTGGTATTTCAAAGATAGAAAAGAGTAATTAAAAATTAATGAATTTCATATTATGATATATATCTATATATTATTTAATAGAATAAATCATTTAAATGCTCCAATTCCTGTGATTTCTCTACCTGCAACAAGACTATTTATATCATAAGTTCCCTAATGTAAAATTATATAATTATACTTCATAAGTATATAATACTTCTGCATCAGTTAATGCTTTAATTACATAATTATCTGATATTATCCCATCTCCACCTAACATTTCTCTTCCTAATCTAGCTACTTCTCTAGTTTTATCAGTTACCCAAGCTTTAACACTAGATATCATTCCAATAGTAGCTTTTCCTTCTGCTGCTAATCTTGATAATCTTATAACCATTAAAAATGATGCTTAAAATGTTGATAATATTCTAACTAATCTTTCTTATTATAATTAAAATGCAGCTAATGGTTTTCCAAATTATTTTCTAGTAGTTGTCCATTTTAATGAATGTTCATATACACCTCTCATAACGCCCAATGCTATCCATGGCACTATTACTCTTGAATGCATAAGTATTTAATTAGGTCCATTTTAAAAATCAGTTACAGAATCTAATTTATTTTCATCTGGTATAAATATATTTGTAAATGTTATTTAACAATTTTATACTATTCTTAATGCTAATTTTCCTTAAATTACTTCTGCATGATATCCTTACCATTTAGTTTCAACTATAAAACCTTCTACTTTATTTGTATCTAAATTTCTTGCCCATACTATCAATATATCTTTATTTCCATTTCCAATCCATCTTTTATCACCATTTAATATATATCCACCTTAAACCTTTTTAACATTTGCTGTTAAACTAGAAGCATCTGATCCATATCCTCTTTCTGTTAATCCCCAACCTCCTATATATTCTATATCTCTTGTTTTTGTTAAATATTTCTATTTCTATGCTTCATTACCATATTTCTCTAATGTATAATTCAATAATAAATTTCTAATATTTTATATCATTTTTACTAAACTGCTATAAATGTTGCAAATCCTGCATCTGCTCTTGCTGCTTCCATTAATATTATTCCTTATTTAGTATATGATGTTCCGTGACCATATGGTTTATCTAAAAAATGATGAAATAATTTTAATGGTTTCACTGCATTCACTATTTCTGTTGGAAATTTAGCTGCCTCAACATAATCATTTATTTTTGGTGCAACCTATATTATTATTATATCCTTTTACTTCTTTTTATACAAATGTTTCAACTGCCTTTCGAACTTCTAATTCTTCTGGTGTCAATAAATTATATAATGATAAATATTCCATTGGATCTATTTAAGCCTTCTTTTCTTATATCTAACCTGCCAACTAATTTAGTCTTATCATTTAATATTAATATCTCAAACATAATTTAATATTTTCAAGATCTGCAGAAATATGTCGTCATATTTTATATTAATACCAACTTTCATTTATTATAATTTATCAAAAAATACAAAATTTATACAATTATATTAAAGATTATAATAATAATATTATCATAAGTATATATTTTATTGAATTACTTTAATAAATCAAAAACAAATTAAATCATCATCATTTTGTCAAACTCTTATTCTATTTATATATATTTAATAAATTATATATTTATATTCTTTATAGTTTTTCTTTTTTTACTTCTAATTTATCACTTGATATTAAATTAAAGTCACTTTCTATAATATTTTTATCGAATTAGATGATAATAGATGTGATATTGATTATTATTAATTAAATGCATCAAATAATCTCTGAAATTTGTATTATTTTATATAGTTAATTAAATCTTTTGTTATAAAGATGGACTTGTTAAAAGGCGGATTTTAAAATGATAATTCGGATGGAGATAGCTTAAGATAATCTTGGACTACTGAAGATAGTCTAAGTCGAACTTCAAGCTACGATGCCGCTGAAGAGGTTAATGATCTAGAGGAAAGAATCTCTCAATATTTAAATGATTTGAATATTTAATCATTTACAAATCCTACTCTCAAAGAGGAAATCTATAACCTTTAATTGAAACAAAAATTAGTAATATATTTTAAATATCTCACTAGTTTTCAAAAATTATCTCATTAAATAACACAAACTAAAGTACTCTCCTGAAAAAACGTTCGCTGCTCTTTGCTGAATGATTATTACCATTTTTCCAATACTTTAACACTTTATTTCTATTTAAATATATTTTTAAACATAATTCTTATTTCTTTTCTGATAAAACTATTCATAATACTTTCAAATTCACATATCAATACATCTATTCTAATATCAATCTCAATTCTATAATCTCAATCAAATATCTTCTTATTCTCCTTTTTACTTCTTCTTCAGTTTATGTCATAAATGACCATCACATTAATGAAAATCATTCAAAAAACATAAAAATATTTCATTAAAGTTAAGAATATTACAAAACCTAGCACTTATAACTAATTCTTAATTATTTTATTACCTATACTTCTTTAAATCTTCATTATATAATTGATGATAACAATCAAAATTTTTGACAGAATATATATATTTATACTTTCTAGATTATTTTGTTGAGCTTCGAAAATGTTATTATAAAACAATTCTAATCACTGTTAAATTTCTAATTGATCAAGTTTCAATATTGGGATTAATCTTAATAGATTAATTGCTCAAAAATTATATCCTCTTATACATCATTCTTCAAATGGTCCTATTTTTGTTTTTCTAATTGATATATTAATTTTAGTTAATGAGCTAGAAGTTCTAGTTTATTCATAAACTGAAATGAGTGCTATCTCTATATAAAATAATTGATATAAGATTTAGTTCACAGTAGGTAAAGAATTCAAAAATTTAGGCTCTTTTCAACATCTGGTTAAATATGATCTTTAGATTGATGGATATAATTATCGAATTCAAGAATTATAATGATTTATTGATAGCAATTATAGCTTTATTGTTATTAATTGTTCTTTAGAGATAGTTTAATGATATTAATAACTTTTGAATAAAGTTTTTACTATTTGCCTCTTGAAATAAAAGATTTTATTAATGAATAGGCTTTTGTTATCTATGAATTTAAAAGTTATTTGTCTTTTTTAATTTTTACATTTAAATAATAATTATATTATAATATATATTTTAAGATAGGAAAAATATAATACTTAAAAATAATAAGTGAGCTACTATTTGTTGTCTTTAAATATCTTATGACAAATTTAATTAATAATATTTCACGTTTTAAATTAAGGTTAATAAGTTTATTAACCATTATTATAATTATAGCTCTAATTTTTATTTAAATATCTAAACATTTACTGACATACTAATTGAAAGTTTATATCAAAATAGATTAATATTTACCATCTAAGAAAAATAGCATTTTAATTCCAGTTTTTGAAAAATAATTAAGAGATTTTAGACCTCTATAAATATTTTATTAAAAAGTCTAGGAGGCTATATATATAGAATTATATGAGGATTTTTGAAAATATTTTATATATTTCAAAGGGGAAATACTTTCTTGATTAATAGTAATTATTTTCATTTGATATTATTTTGTAGCCAAAAATAGTAATATCATTTGTTTATTATTTAACTGAAAAATAAATTACCATTTAATCGAATTATTTATTTATTGATGATTGGCTTAAGAATTATTTTTATTTATTATATGTATATTTTTAGAATTTAAAAATAAAGTGTTTATGTTTTATAATTAAAAATATTTGATGAACGAAATAAGTGAGTATTGTATTTATATAAATATTGATCTTTATAATTAAAGTACCTAAAAAATCTTGGTCTTACAAAATTAAAAAAATAGTTAAGTTTCTGTTAATTATTTTGGATATTGTCAAATGAATAGTAAAATAAAATAATAGCTATATAATTCTATAAGATAGCCAACATCTTTTATATGATATAATTTTGTTTTCAAATAATCGAATAAATTATGTATTTATTAATAAAAAATACTTTAAACAAAGTAGAGCCTTGAGTTACGTATTTTAGATGAAAAAATTCTGTGGATATTTGTTTAAAGTTCATAATTTGAAAAAAAATTCAAAGACGAAAGCATTTTGTTTGATTAGCATAGGATTGTTAGAAATTTACTGTGGTGTTTTAACTTTGTAAAATTTGAGATTATTTTAAGAGAAATGGAATATAGAGAATTAGAAAATAAGATTTTAAGATAAGGTACAATGGATGATTATTTGTAAATACTAACTTACTTTGATGTTGAGAAATTATGTCAATAAAGCACAATATTATTAATAACAATATTAATAATAGGTTGTTGTTTTCCTTTGGTGTATTTTATTTTAGGAATAATGAGCAACAAGAAGGAGAGAGTTGAGAAAAATTAATCAGCTTCTTTAAAAGTAAGAAATACATTTAGCATCTAGTTATTGAGTTAGTTAATCGATATATATTACTGGTGCTTATTCTAGCCTTTTATTTAAGTTCAATTTGAAGTTTTACTACTTAATAATAAAATTTTGGATTGGAATTAAATGTTATAGGATAATTATACTAATGTTGCTCTTTTATTTGCCCTTTCATTAGTTGGGTTATTTTTAAATTCTATAATGATGATATCGATTTTACTCTTTTTTTATAAAAATGTCAATTTTAGGATTGATTTATTAAGTTGCAGTAATAAGTAAATAATGTTGAATGTTTGTATATTAAAAATTGTAATTTGCATATTCAATAGTATTCATGTTTAATCAACTACTCATTATGTAAAATAAATACTATAATTAGGTATCATATTTGATTATTTTAATTTTAATGACTTCAAAATTATTGTAAAACTAATTTTTTGGAAATGATACTCCATCATTTTATTATTTTCGATTAAATTAATTTTATTAGCATTTAATGTTCAGTTTATTAGGTTTATTGTTTACATTTTTAATAGAATTGATGGTAGTATATTTTAATAATGAAGTTAACGATTTCTTATGCATTATTTCAATATGTGTATTTTTGAATATTTTAGGAAGCATTTTTCAAAATAAAATAGTTTTTTTTTATTTGTTATAACAAAAGATTTCAGATTAATTAACATTGAATAAAATTTATTATTTTTATCAACTTAATACATAATCAGAGGATAAAAAACATATAATAATTGGTTTAATAGATAAACATCTTAAAGATGGTTGTATTTCAAAATTAGAAAGAAAATACTAAACATAAGATTAATCAAAAGATCCATTATTAGATTCTACTTCAATAGGATACTGTTTTTGTTAATAACATCAGTTTTATGATCCTAGAAGAAGAGTATTTATAAATAGTTAAAAATCAAAAGTTTAATAACATTATAAATCATTCTTCAAATTTGAGATTAAATCTTTATATGAATAATGCATAATTTAAAATAAAGAAAATCATTAGATAAGATTATCATATTCAAGACATCTATTTTTTTCAATTTAAAATAAATCTTAAGCATTATTATAAATGTCAATTTTAAAATAAAAATTAAATAAATTATCATTTTTTGAGAAAGTGAATTTTCATTTATTATTAATGATGATGTAAAATAAAATAAAAATGCAAAATTCTAATAGTTATAGAAATTATTTAGATTTTGAATATGTAATAGATATAGAGATGATTGTAAAGAAAATAAAAATAAAAATTCTAGATTTAATTTAAAATTATCTAAAATATTGGAATACAATTAATTTAGAAAAGATTGATGAATCTGATTTAATAAAATTAGATAAAAAGATACAAATAGGAATATTTGAATGTGAAAAGTTATGGTTAAAAATTAATCAAAATAATAAAAACTTTGGAGATTAATAAAATGACATGAAATATTTAAGTAAAAAACCATAATGGGAATTATTATATTTATGGTATAAAAGATATATTCTAAATTAAAAAATGAAAGGTTAAAAAATTGATTATCATCCAGTAAGCCATTTACATTAGAATTTCTGTGATGAAGATTCAGATTCTGATTATGAAAATCATTATATGCAATCTTTTGACCCTAAAAAGGTTTTTCATTCAATGACAGCTATTATTTTTGCAAAAGAAAATGGAAATATTGTCAAATTTAATGAATATACAAAATAGATTTTTGGAATTCAAGGATTAATTAATATTAATTAAATAATTCCTAATTCTATGATTAGAAATCATATGTTAAGAGTTAAAGAATTTGTTGAAAAAGGAAAAACTAATTCCTTATATACAAGAAAGAAAGTACTTATTTAACATCACAATTCATATTTAATTCCTGCAAATAAATATTTAAAAATATCAATCAATTAATTCATGTTATTAGAATTTATAGCAATGATTCGACCAATTTAACATGAATCATCAGGCAATTATTTAATTATTAATGAAGATTGGGAAATTGTTTAAGCAACTAAATAATTAAAAAATATGTTTGAATCTTAATTTAATCTATTATTGAGCTGCCCTAAATTGTTGTTGTATTCTTAATATTAAAATCTATTAGAAAAAGATGATTATTCATTATTTCAAATTAAAGGACATAAATATTATACTCTATCAAAATAACAAACAACTAATAATGATTTATAAAGTATTATTTTTGATATCATTAGGATAAAAGAGCATGATAAATGATAATGTATTTGATGAAATTGATTAAGAAAAATAATTTACTGAATAATTTATAAAAGAACATGAAGATGATTTAGATGAAAGACAAAGATTGCTGAATTCTAATATTTAAAATTAAAATGAACAATATTTTTAAATTTTGATTAGAATTCCTATGCTTTATTAGAGAATGAAAGCTGAATACTTTAATTTAATAATTAATGCTGATAAGGAAAATTTCCATGATTATCCAGAAGATTCTATTATGAAATAGTAAAGTATTATTATAAGAAATGGAAGAAAGAAAATTGCTTTTAATTTCAAAATTTTAGTTGAAAAAATTAACTTTTTAAAAAAAATTCGTTTAGCTTCTTAATTAGAAGTTTATAGTAAATATTATTTAATAACAAGGGTATCTTTATAGAAAATACTTCTGTAAGGCAGATCAATTAAAAAAAGTAATTCGAGTAGACGCAAAAATAAAATTAGAAAAAAATTAATTAATTGATAAAATATAGATTATAAAAATAAATAGATTTGAAACATTTAATAATGTAAAATCTAAAAGATAATCTATGTTACTTAAAGGTGATATAAATAGAAAAACATTGAGGATTAAATTAGAACCTAAATAATAATAATTCTAAAATTAAATTTCTATATAATATAATAATTTACCTTCTAATAAAGATATCAAGATTCCTCTAAATGAAAATTTAACAACAAATGCTTATAAATATTTAATAAATGAAAATCAAATGAAAAATGATTTTAGTGAATCTCTAATACAAGAAATTTAAATAAAAGCAGATTAAAATTTATTTTTAAAAGAAGATCATAATAAAATAAAAAAACATTTAAATAAAATTGATTATTTTAAATGGACAAATAGATATTTCATGGTTGGAATGATTTTACTTACAATGTTATCATTTTCATATGGTCCAAATATTAGTTATAATGATCTTTATCTTTTAGGAGTAATATTTATAATAATTTATTAGGGAAATTCAAGTTACACTGCCGTACTCGTTGCTTAAGATATTTCTATTATTTATAACTAAATTATTGATTTAGCACTTTGTAACTAAAATGCTACTTTATGTTCTAATATCATAACATATACAAGCAGTTATTATAAATAAGAACTTGTAGATTAAAGAATTTAACTAGATCTTTAAAAAATTAATAATAGTCTTAATTAATTTTATACAAGTAAGTACAATATACAAACTATATATTCTACTGTTATTATAGAACATGATCATGAAGTACATTAATAAAATGTATTAGAAGATATTAAAAACTTTTAAGTTTTATTATAATAGTTTCTTATATCAAATATATCAGAAATTACATTTGAATTTGAATATTATTAAATTCTCTAATCAAATTTAATGCCAGGATTATTTGAAAGTTTAAGTTTAATTCAAATTGATTTGCTAAATGAAATTTACTTAGAATTTGATTTTAGATCATCATTTTTTTTAATAGATATGATAACTGGCTTTATGTTTTTAGGTACATTGATGGCTATAAATTTTTTTAATGTATTTAAAATAATAGATTATTATTAAACATTATATAGTTAAATTTAATACTTTGATTAATCATCAATTGAAAATGTTATACAATATTATAGGAAACTTAGATAATGTTTTAATCTTTTTAATGATATACAAACACATCATACAAACAGTAAAATTAATAAATTTAATGATAGATTATATTTCATTTTAATCAGAAGGATTTATAAAAGCAGAAACAGATTAAAAGATGACAATGGCTTTAAAGACAACTAAATTTGTTGTTTCTAATTATTGGTTTAAATTAAAGTTAAGATTGATGTTGTTGTATTTCATATTTATGTTCCTTTTAATTGTGATGGCTTTAACTTACAATATTTATATGCAAAAATATGCATATGATTTAAAAATTGAAATATCTTAGAATCCTTTTCTTTTTGAAACGAAAAGTCCATGGGTTTTCACATTTTCAAAAGAATTATATATTGAATCTTTCTATAATATTCATAACATAATAACAAATGAATATAAAGAATATTTAGAAGAATTTGTTATAGATGCTTTAAATACAGATTCGAGTCGACTTGAATCAAAAGAAGCATAAATCGATGATTATTTTTATTCAGACATATGCAAATTACTTATTTCTAATTTAAGTCATTGTTAGAATATTGCTGATGGAATATTAAAACGAGGATTATAACAAACATTTTATTTAATGGGAAATTTATTTGAAAGTTAATTAGATGAAAATAAAACAAAGTTTTCTGAAATTTCTTTTGATTCAATTTATGAATTAAACTTTGTATTTATTAATATTTTTATTAGTTATAACCATATGTATTTTCTAGTAGGAAAGAGATGTGGAAAATTTGGATAAACAACTTTTCCAAGATTTTTAATTATTATGTATTAACAGAAACGTAATTAATGTAAATACATTATTATTATATAGAATTTGTTTTTATATTTTTTCTTTTTTGATTTACATAACTACTTTGGAAGTATACTTTGAGGAATAATTAAGACTTGATTATTAAAAAGTGAGAAGTTATTATAAAAGATATTTTCCAAATAATATTTTGAATGAATAAAAGAGAATTAAAGCTATTTTGAAAAAACTATCTCTAATTGGTTGATTATAAGATTATGTGAAAATATTAATATAGATAAATATTATTAAATCATAATTATGACAATTATTATTCATTAAAAATAGACAACAGATATTACTAATGAATAGATAATATAATTACTTAGATATCAATAGATTCTTTAATTTCATTTGTATTTTATTTGGATCTATTTTATGTTTGTAATAATTGTTAAAAGTTTCCATTTGTGAGCATAGCAATATTTAATTTGACGACTAAAATATTATTAGATATTGAAAGTTCAGCTTATCCAAATCTAAATATAGAATCAAAACCTTCTAATTTAATATTAATAGACTAATAATTCAATTTAAATATAATTACTTTTCTTTAATCAATTTCAGCCATTTCAAAACAGATATTATCAGTAAATTTAATATAAGAAGCAATATGTTTGATAACTTTGATTAACATATCCCATTAAAGTGCAATATCTACACAAATTTTAGGTGAGATGGCTAAAATTAATAAAATTATTTACATTTTTTAGTAGCTTTTTCAATTCCATTCGCTAATTTATTATAATAACATTCAACAAAAGATTAAAATTAAACATGATATCCTAATCTATCTTTTGTCATTTCATATAAATCCATAATCATTTAATCATCTTTAATAGATTATATATTTTCTTTATCAATTAAATAAGTCCAATATTTCGTAGATGAATCCTCGATAATCTAATTAAATAGAAATGAATATTTTTCTCTTCTAATAAATTCATCTTTAGAGACAACTTAAATTATTATTTAATTAGTAATAGGAATAAGTATAAGCTCTTTTTTATTTTTTTTTTTGGTTGAATAATTTGATATCAGTTATTTTCCATTATATTAGATTGAATCTCCTTAAAATGTATAAGGATTATGTGTAATATAACTATTATCATGAGTTTCCATAATTAGTTATTAAATATTCTCATATGAATATGATTCAAATGTGAAATTTTCAATTTTAGGCAAGATATCATATTTCGTTTATTCAAAGACTTATTAAATGAGTTAATTTTTAGCATGTTCAGTACCTTTTTATGAAGATAGAATTGATGGATATATAAATTAGGTATCTAATTAAATATCTTGTATTATTACCTTTAACCATTCCAAGAGGATATTTGATTTTCCATGTATTATTTTCTGATTATTTAAATACAATGACTTTATGTTAAGCAACTTATTCAGAAGGATGTAATTCAGCTCTGATTTCTATATTAGCAGATTAAACACCCCAAAAATCAATTGAAATATAATCATCTAATTTACTAAGTGTTTATATTTCATGAATAATGACTTCAGCTTAATAACATACATGTAATAATGATTTAATTAAACATAACTAAGTATATAATAAATAATAAATTACTCCTTAAAACCATTTATCAGATTACAATTGATGTGAGACTTTGGTACTTTATCCTAAAATCTATCCCCAAACATTATCTTAAAGTGTAAATGTATTAAAAATGAGAGCATCTTTAATATCTTCTAAGAACTACTTTTCAGAACTTATTTAATTATTCATATCTCCAATTGGTTTAATTTAAATAAGCTATTAATAAATTTAATTATTTAGTAAAGATTATATTAATGAAAAAAAGAATATAAAAGTTCTTTCTATAGTTTAAAAATGTCTCAAAATAGCTCTAAATATATTAGTTACTTAAGATGCTGATGGATCATCTCTAAGTTCAAATATCTATTTAAATTTATTATGAACAACTTCTGTATGTTTATTTGGATTTAATATTAATAATAGTATTCCAGAAACAATTACATGTTATGGTTCAATCAAAGTATCATAGAATCTATCTAAATCATCATTCTTATCATATAACACTCTTAATGAAAATATTAATTATTAATTAGTTGTAATAAACCTGATAAATTAATATGGATCTTATAATAATAAGTATTCCTTTACTATGTTATCACCATAAGGCAAATCAAAATCAAAATTAGCATTCCCAGGTTCATTTTATTCAGGATAATATATTCTTAATAATTCATAAGCTTCTCTATTCTTTATCAATTATGTATATATTTTATCATGAGTTATTTATGGATGTTTATCACAAAAACTCTCTACTAAAATAAATGAATTAGCTTTATCCACTTAATCCAAATGTAATTTTAATAAATATATTAATGGCTACTTTGCTGGATCTATCTCTTAATTCATTATTATATTTATTATTGGATCTCTACTTTCCAATTATAAACCAATTTTATTATAAAGTGGAACTAAATTTAAACAAATCTCTAATTCTTTTAATTTCTCTTATCTGCATAAGTGATATTTACAAATTCGATATAATCTTAATGCAGATTATTTATATAATTATTTATAATGTTCCTATTTTAATAAATTCTCTAATTATTATGGAGTCTAAAATAACCATCTTTATGGTAAATTACTAATTTATACCTCCTCTAAATCTTTACGTTCAATACTTATATTCAATTATAATACTGTCTGTATAACATCATAAAATCCACAATTTATTGCTAATTAAAATACACTCCAACTATTATTCTCATCTAATTTACATACTGTTGCATTCAAAATCTTTGTCATTATATTTTTATACTCTTAAGGTAATATCTTTTATAAATAATCTACAAAAAATTCTTTATAAAAAATATCATAATTTAATAAAAATATCGTTGTAAATAAAGATCTCTTTTATTTATCTTATTAAAATGGTTCTGCTACATTATCTTAAATTAATAACAATTTTAAAATCTCCTTTCCATTAAAACTCAATTATTTCATTATTTTTCTAGTTATATATAATAATGTCTCTTAAGATCCTTTTGCAATTGCTCTACTTAATAAATTACCTTCTAACATAAATTATTTTAATTCACTACTCTTTAAACTACATAAATCTTCTAAACATAATTAAATTGTTTCTTGAGAACCACTAGAAAATGCAAATCCTAAATAAAACTACTTTTAATCATCACTTAACATTCCTTTTGGTTTCAATGAACTTAAAAAGTAATCTTTTAAATAATTAAACAATCCTTTTGTTATAAAAAATTCTAAAGCATTTTCATTTATCAAATTAATTCCTTACTTAGCTAAATCTACAATATATTTCATATTTGATTCATTAAAAGGCAAAGCTTATTTTGCTTAATTGTTACTTGAATTCAAATATTTTTAAATAAAACCTAATGTTCTCTTTTCCAACGTTTTATATTTCAATAATAAACTTGCTAATTATTATGGTTATTATATTAAATTAAGTGTTTCAAATTCTTAAGTTGTAAAATTTTAATCCATAAGAATTAATACTTCACATGCAAATTTACATTAAGTTGATAATGGATCACTTTTAGACAAGTATTTAGTTAATAATTGACTTTCATCTCTAAAAGTATCAGGTTCATTCAAATCTTTAAAGATTTTAGAGTTTAAATATTTTTTTAAGAAATTTATACATCTAATTAATACGTCATTTGATTATTCATATTAGAATAAATTAATCATTGATTTAAAAGCTTAAACTATACATACATTCTAATTAGGAGATTGGGATAAAAGTTCAGAAAATTTATCATGTACATGTACATAAGTAAAAAAATCATCTGAAGGTGTTAATTTTAATTAGAGAACCTTTTCAATCAACAATTCAATAGTTTTAACAAAATCTGATTCTTTTTATTTAGAAGAATAAAAGACAGATCTAAAATTTTATCTTGGAAATAATCTTCTTAATTTATAAGAGTATTCTTAGTACCATAATAATTAATATTATTTTTAAAGTATAGAAAACTCTGATTTAACTCTTTGGTAACTATTGGCGGCATATTTATAAATCTATTATAATTGGGTAGTCTTTAGTAATAAAGATTATATATACTAATGCACTTTAAACCATAATCCACTTTTGAAATACAGGCTTGGCTTTATCAAAAGGTTTTTTAGGATCTGGTTTAAGTTTTTCTTTATCTTTAGGAGGCTTAAAGAAATCAAGATTGTCTTCAGGATAGAGTCTCTTTACATCACATTCCTATAATAATTTATTTAAATTTTCATAATAGAGTGCTTTTCTGACTGTATTAATTTAATGAGCAGCAATTGGTAAAGCTTAAATAATATAATTTTGATTAGTCATTCTATCATGAATCAATTTTAACTTATTATATCTTCCATTCATAGCCAAAATCAAAATAACATAATTTACTTCATTTTATTAACAAATATCTTTAATATCATTAATCATTGCTTAAAATTACCCAAAATCTAATTCAATAGACCAATGAGTATTTAATGATTATAAATAGACTTATTAATTATTCTTTAATTATGCTACTCTTTAACATTTATTCATTCTTAATTATGCAAAGAATAAAGCCATATGAGCAGCTTACATATTATTATAATGTAATGCTTTTAATAATATATCTACAAAATTTAACATATCGTGAAATTTAGAATCATAAGCTTTACGAAAGAACTTACCAAAATTTAGACTCTTCGCAATCATTAAATCATTTACTATGCCTTAATATTTAAAATTGTTTTTTAGTAATCCTTCTGTATTTTATTATTCTTACATTAATTGATCTAATACTTATTGATATTTTTATTAAGCAAGATTTTATTACATTTACTTTATATTTTTATGTAATAATATATAATGATTGATATCTTCCTTTTTTTTATTTATTTTATTTTAATTTTCATCTTCTTCTTCTTTCTTTTTATTAATATCTGATATTCCTTTATATTTTTTTTAAATATCATCTTTTAGTTTAGTTGTTATTTCTGCTATTTAATAAATTGATTAAAATATTGGTAAGAAATCAAAAGTATTGTTTTTATCATTGCTAAATTAATCATTATCTTTGTAAATAATTTAAACATCTTTTGTTAGATATTAATATATATATTAAGTTTGAGTAGTTTTAGCAATTGAAACCATTAATGTTTAATTATAATACGTTTCATATGGATAATTCTATTTACTACATAACCAATTAATCCAATCAAATTATTACCAAATCAATTCCTATATTGATTCATCTAATTTACATAAAATCATTGCTGGAATAGTATGTTAATAATAAAAATTATCCCATTCTGTTATTTATTTGTTTTTCTATTATTAAATTTAAAATGGTTTATTTAATTTCAACTTTTTAAAATCATCAAAGAAATAATCCTTTTTGATATTTTAACAATATAATAAATATTTATTAAAATTGAAATGTTTGATAAAATTGATTGCAGAAAGACTTAAAATGTCTAAAACTGGCACACCTTTATTAGAATTATTTTCTTGAGCAGCTTTCAATTCCTTAATTATTCTACTTTTATGTTTTTTTTATTTATAAAGTAATCTATCTAAAAATAAAGCTAGAGGAGTAAATCCAAGCCAAACCTTATCATTTATCATATTAAATTTATTAATACATGCATATAATGAATTTATAGATAAATCTGGATTCATAATTAAAAAATGTAAAGATGTTTATCCACTTAATGAAGTTTAATTTTATAAAGAATCTAAATTAAGTATCTAATCTAAAGGAGCATTTTCTAAAAACATCATCATTGGTGATATTCCTTAATTATCTTTTTAATAAACAAATTATTCAAATTGTTTCCATGATCTTGCAAATAAATTCCATCTTTTTCTTCTAACTATCTCATGAAATATATTTTATTATAATTCAGGTAATTATAATAAATCAAATTTTTATTAAGTTTCTACTTTTTTAGGTAAAATAGGAATTTTAAAATAAGTTTCTTGTTTAGCTTTCCCATATAATTCTTCAATTGATTTCATAAATGGTAATTCTGGATTTAAGAATTTTTAACATAATTTTCTTAATTTAGATAAGACAATAACATGTTAATAATCTTATATATTAAACTCCAAAAGAAAAGGAACTAAAATAGATGAATTCTAAGGATTTGTAGCATATTAAGCAATTATTAATCCAATATTAGGATATATATGTAAAGCATTAATAAAACATGCCAAAGCTTTTAAATAATGATTCTTCCTTAGACGTTACTTAATATTCTCAAACAATGACTATGCAAATACTTCCAATTAAACATCTTCATTCAAACCCAATTAATTAAAAAAGTACAAAAGTTCTGGTAATGAATCTGAATCCAACATGTAATCAATCAAACACATTCCAAAATCATCTACTGTCAATATTAATAATTTTGCAGCATCACATCCAAAATGAACTAATGCCGATTCAATATCAAACTTCTTTATTCTTCCTTATCGACTAGTTAATCTTAATTAACCAAGTATTTCCTAATATGCTGGGTCCGATTATTTTAACAAACCTGATATTATACCATCTAAATCTTGTCTTAATCTCTTCATTCTAGTCAATGCTCTACGTCTTATTATTATATCATCAGCATAACAACTTTCTTTTAATAATCCACCCAAAAAGCTCTCCATCTCTAGTTTTTAAGATATCAATATGCTTACATAATATTCTCTCCTAGACTTCTTCCATATTTTGTTTAATTTTTCCTGCCATGTCCTTTTAACACTCCAATATTAACTAGATTATTATCTCTTCATCCTTACTACTTCCCCAATCAAATCCTTTTAATTTTGCTTCCTCTATTTGTTAATGCTTCTTTCTCTATTCTAAAGTCTTTGGGGATCCAGGAATGTTTGATGATTTATCTAAAATTTATTGATTTAATACTTGATGGAACACTGGAAGAACAAAATTAAATTATTTTTAAACTCACCTATCCAATTGATGCCCATTAATCATTATATACTTTAAACATTTCTTTCTACACAAATGTTTCCTTTATCATCTTTCCTTAATATTCTTACACTACTTCAAAATCCACAAAATCTGAAACTGACAAATCTATCTCTCCAATATATTGCTCTTCATAATTCTTTACTTTCAATAATTTTAGTTTCAATGGATATTTTGCATTTGATTTAAACATAAAGTCTACTACACCATGACAAGTTTTTGTATATTAATGAGGAGTTGTCAATATTAATGTCTTTCCTCTATATATTGCTTCCCAGGAAAATTTTGGTGGAATCTCAATTATTCATATATATACTTTATTGTTTGGTAAATCGTATTTATTATACACAGTCACATTCTGAATGAATAATATGCATAGTAATTGATTTTTCTTTACTTTCTCTTCTATTTACTAAAACATAATTCTTGATTGGCATTTCTCAAACTTCTACTATGTCAAGTCATTTAAGCAATCCATAAATACATTAAACTTATTTAATCTTATTGGAGAAAGTTTCTTTTTCAATGCTAATTTTTAAACTTAATACTACTTTACTGAGAAACTCCTTAAACTCCTTATTACGATGTTTACTACTGAGGACGTTTTGATACTTGTCTTGAAGTCTTTACTCGAAAATCATTAGATTTTGATTACATTCCAAATAAATATAATATAAAACTTAATCTTTAATTACTATGCATTATTTATTCTTCACTGAATTACCATTTAATTCATATATTCTAACTATATTTTTATAATATATAAATCTACTTGATAATCAAACAATAATAATAACTAATTTAATATTCTAAAACCTGTTTTATTACAAAGAACATAAATCATTTATCAAATAATATATATGTACTCTATTTATCCATTAATAAATTTAATTATGTTAAGTGTTTTTTAAGTGTTAAAGAATGGAATATGTGCCTAAAAAAAGAAAAAATTATTAGAATAAAAGATAGAAATTTAAGAATCAGAATCAGAAGAATAACCAAAATAAGTTGAACATGATTTAAAAAGAGCAAGAAGAAAAGAGAGTTTAGATTAAATAGAGTAAGAAATGACTAAAAGGAGAACTTAAGAGATTTAATAAAGAAATACACTTCTAAAGAAATTAAAGATAAAAATAAGTGGAGATAATATCAATACACCAATTTTGAGTAATTTTTGCAAATTGAAGAATTTTTTAAATTAAGATTTAATGAATTAATTATAGAAATGTGGTTATTAAAAGCCAACTCCAATATAAATGGTAGCAATTCCAATAATTTTATAAAAAAAGAATTTAATTGCAATAGCTCCAACAGGATCTGGTAAGACTTGTGCTTTTGCATTGCCTACATTGTAAAATTTATAAAATCACAAAGAAGGAGGACCAAGATGTTTAGTATTTGCACCAGCATAAGAATTGGCTGATTAATTATTTAAAGAATTTAATAAATTTAATAAGGAATTAAAAATAAAACAAATATAAGAAATGAATAGAGAAAAGTAAGCATTTAAATAAGCATGGAATCATATTGATATATTGATAAGTTCCCCTTTAAAGTTTTTAAAATTACATAAAGTAATAGATTTAAGTACAATATAATATGTTATAATGGATGAGGCTGATAAATATTTTGAATTAGGTTTATTAGCTTAAGTAAAGTAATTATTAAGGATTTTGGAATCTTTATAAATAACTTATATGTTCTTTAGTGCTACCTTACCTGAACTTGTAGAAGATATTTATAGAGATTTATTAATTGATCCTATAAAAATAATAATAGGAGGTAGAAATCATGTTTTAAATAGAATTGATTAATAATTAAGATATGTATCAAATGAATATGGAAAGATATAGGAAATGAGAAATTTAATTAATGAAGGTTAAATGACTCCTCCTATACTTGTTTTTGTATAATCTAAAACAAGGGCTGAAGCATTAATGTATGAAATAGAATAATTGAAAATCATTAGAGTCAATTGTATTCATGGAGATATGGAAAGTAAATCAAGATAAGAAATAGTTGAATAATTTCATAAAGGTACTATTTGGATGCTCATTTGTACAGATATGATGGCAAGAGGAATAGATTTTAAAGATGTTTAATTAGTTATAAATTATGATTTTCCATAATCTATGATTACTTATGTACATAGAGTTGGTAGAACAGGAAGAGCTGGTAAATAAGGAAAGGCTATTACTCTTTTTACAGATGAAGATAAAGTTATGTTAAGATCATTAGCTAATGTTTTAAAAGTTTCTGGTTGCTAAGTACCTGAATGGTTATTTTAATTACCAACTCCAAATAAAAATCTTAAAAAAAAAAGAGAACGCTTCCCTGTTAAAAGAGAAAATATAGAAGATTAATGATGTATCAATTCATTTGTAAAATTAGTATATTAGGATATATTAATTAAATTAAATTAAGAATTCGATATATTTTTAAAATATTCAAGATCTTGATACAAAATAAACATTTTACAACTAATATAACTTAGAATTTTAACATTAAATTATTATTTTAATATAACAAAGATAGATATATCAAAATATATTGGCTTTTGTGTCTAACCATCTTACTCTAGCTATAACTTATGAATTATTTTTTATTTTAAATTAGTTTAATGTTTAAATTCTGTCTTTTTAATTATTATATTAATGTCCATTTATATATAGATCTAGAGAAGCTGTATTTCTAAAAATATTATAAATTTTACATTTAAATTGATAAATAATTTAAAATAGAAAGGGCTATTTCCTCAATAGTAATATTAGATTTAAAATAGAATAGTATAAATCTTTTTTGTAATCCATCTTATATTTCAGTATTTAGTTATATCTTTTCTTCATCAATTAATTGAGGCTAAAAATTATATAAATCTATACTTAAATTTATGTTTAATGTAGTTGTTTTGTATAATTATGAATTGTTAAATTAGTATTGAATAAGTCGAGGCTTGTTTAAAATAATTTTTCAGTGTTAAATAGACCATTTTATGTTGGATAGGCAGTAATAAGTAGAAGTTCTTCATTTATTAGATTTATATAAGAATCTAAGTTAAGATATTAATTTAATTAAAATGAAAAACATCTCCATAATTAATGATCTCCCTGTATTCTATGTATGATATATAATTTTTACTTTTAAGTTACTTTAGCATTTTCAAGTATTTCTGAAATTTTTGTATTGGGAAGTACTTCTATAGAAAATTATATATTTTGACCCAATTAAATTTTTTTTAAAATCGTAATTCTATTAGTAGTAATCACTAAAGAGTCTGATTCTGATTCTCCAAGTGTTTCATAGGATTCTAAGATTCGATTTTCAGATGTAGAATGACAAACCCAATTTTCAAAGTTCTCAAAAATTCTTCAAATTATAAGAAATATATTACTAAATTTTCTAACTAAGATAATATAAGACTTCTGATACAAGAAAAGTAGAGATTACTTTAAATTGAAAATTTATATTTTAAGGTTAAATGATAGCTGTAATAAATTTAGGTCTTTCAATTTATTTATTACATTGTACTATAAATGACTCTTGATCAATATCTCCAACTTCATCTTAATAATTCAAAAATATATTCCTTTATTAGGAATAGCAAATCCAAGTATTGATACTTCCTAATATACTAAAATATTATTTTAACTTACTTTTCTTATTCTTATATGAAAGACAGTAAATCACCGATAGTAGTATTTGATTCTATTTCATAATTAAATGTTGTCTTGTAGGGAAGTATATACACAGACTTCTGTATAATCATAATTATTTATTATAATTCTATTAATGAATTAAAAAATAAATAAAAGAAAATAAATTTTAGCTTCTTTTAAAAGAAAGAATAGTTATTAATATTTAAATTAAGATTTTTTAAATTATTATTAAATTAAAATTTTAGGAAGGTAGGGGTAAAGTAAATTAGAAATATATAGAATAGAAAATAAATTTGACAGTTACATGACCATTTTGTAGACTATTTCGGATGAATTAATAAATTAAAAGGAATAAAAGAAAACTATACATTTTAGAATTTCAAAGTATTGTTTGGTTTGTAGATGATTGTAAATGTAATTTATTCACATTATCATTTCATCCCATATCCTGAAAATTATTATATATTGATAGCTTTTATAATATTGTAAATTTAGATTATAGACATGTATTAGTTATTACATATAATTATTAATGGTTTGAAAGAGTAAAGGAAGGTGATATATATAACTTGATATATATAAATAGGATAAGAAAGTGAACAAAACTTTTGGATATGGAGTATCTTAATTTATTAAAGATTTATAGTTTTTACGAGTTTACAGTATGTCTAATAAAGCTTTAATATAAAAAAAGTGAATTATGTTAATTAGTTGAACATAAAAATAATAGTGCTGAATTTATTAATGTAAAAGGTTATATTGTTCAATCGAAAATGAAAAGTTTGATTAATGAGTTATTATGGTGATTAAAAGTTGAATTAGAATTATTAAGAAATGAAGAATAGAATAAGCAAATAAAAAATGATTATTTATTATTGTTATATATAGTATTAAGATAAAGAGAAAAGGGAAACTTGATAATAAATATGTAATTAGAAAATAAATATTCATGATTATTATTGTTCTAATTAGAATTGGTTTGGAATTTCTTATTTGAGAATTTCATTATCACCTTATTCCCTTCTCTTTTAATTATATTTGTTTATGTAACAATTCTAACATAAACCTTCTATTAGTTAATAAATAAATAATTATTACAAGCATATAATTTATCGTGTCCACAAATCCATGGTTTCTTAGTTCTACCATATTTGTGATAACAATTATTACACATACCTTTTGCATAATGTTCCTTTTCAGGATGTCCACAATTATTGTTACGTTTACTTCTAAAACGATATATAGAAATAGATACATCTTTTTTGATTTTGGTACAACTGCTAATTATTAAGATTGTGATTGTTAGACAGTTTTCATTTATGATGCCATGAGCTAATTATTTAAGAATCATAAATACCAAATTAGAGAAAATTGTATTTTAAAGTAAATTTAGTTATTCTTCTTTCTCTTTTGGTTGTGGGATTACATTCTTATTGTTGTTACACATCTGGAAATTGAGTCTAAATACTAAATTGTTGATGAATTCGTTATACAATTCGCTCCTGCTAATAACTGATTGATAATATTCATAAAGATTTGATCAAAAAATAATATTATTATTTCAAATCAATATATCACACTCTTTATTGGCACCATAAATCTAATTATAATTAATTAATACTACTTTATATCATCATATGAAACTAATGTCATTTCATTCAATGCTTTTTTGTATATATTATTAAACAAATTACATTTATCCAACATGTATAGTTTTTGATGAATTAAAACATATAAATTGATATCTAGCTTTTCAGTATCTCTATAACTTTTATTTACTAATTTTATCATCCTATTAACATTATTACTATTGATTTTGTATCTAATCTTACATCTAAGTTTCTTTAAATCTTCTAATAATATTATAAACAATTTGTAAATAAGTAATCCGCTTGTTTCTCAACTAATGTTCTCTAGAATAAACTTATTTAATATTCTCCAATATTATATATAATAATAGAATCCATATTTAAATTAACTTCTAAATTCTTGTTCTCAAATATTACTAATAAAAATATTGTATTCTCTCTAATTCAATGAGTGTCTATTTACTTATTATGCTTAGATAAATCTTTCTTTAATTCTTTTATTGATTTCAATTATCCTTTTATAGCTTCCTATATTTTTGAAACATCAAAATATTGCAACAATTCTGGACTTAATATTTCTTATTGAACCCAATATATTAACTCAAATATATCTGGATTTATATACTTTCTATTACTTCATTACTTATACCTTATGAAAAGAATTTAAAGGTAAGTCTTATATAGATATTATCATAAAACTAATTACAAATTATACTTTATGAGATTTTCGGTCATTATTCTTAAAAACTTTAAACTTTATGTATTTATTGCAATCTAGATAATATTATTTTAACATATATCCATTAAAAAAGCAATTTCTTTCATTGAAATAAAAAATAATTATGATCTTTAAATTTGAATCTCTATGCGAGTTAATATTGATAAACATTTATAAAATTTACATCTTAACAATTAATTTAGAATATTATAATTAGATATATATTAAATGAGGTAAATATACTGATATATTTTTGGTATAATTTATATATATTAATATTTAAAATTATTTATTCATAATATTATTAAGACATATCCTATATTTATTTAAAAACATAATATTATGCAAAATCTCCAAAATTACTTAAAGCAAGTTCAATAGAAGCTTAAAATAAAAAAGTTTCAAAAGATGTGGAATTATTGCAGTTAATTTTATGAATTTGGAATGTTGCACCCAACTTTAAATATTCTGTTAGGAATTGAATTTAGTGCACTTGCATCAAGTCCAACTAAATTTGTGCAACTTTTATTATCAAAACATTTTTATTTATCTTAAAATTATCTAACTCCAATGTAGACGAAAGAATTTGATGATATACTTTAAAGGTGTGATGAATTTGATCAAAGAAAATTGGGGTAAAATATAAATATATAAAATAATAGGACGGTTATTGGAATGATCTTATTAGGAGCTATAGGATTTTTTATATTTGGGTTTGCCTTAATAGGAGGAATAGGAGGAGGAGTATTAGGAGTGATTGGAGGACATTAAATTGGGAAAAGAATTAAGAAGACTTTATAAAATAAATAAGATTTAAAAGAAATAGATATTTATGATATAAGAATTAGAACTATGTTAAAATGGGCATAATAATAGTAAAAAAAATATAATTATAATATTAATCTATAAAGATTTGTAACTGAAAAGATCTTAACAGAAATAAAAATAGCTCTACATTTTAAATATTTCTCAAACAATAACTAATCTCAACTTTAAAAACTTCTGAAAAAGACTTATATGTTTCTAAATCAAGATTTTTATTTGTGTTCCATAGAATTAAGTTTATTATTATTAAAAGAAGAATTAAAAATTTTAAAGTATTTTAGTTTATAGGATTAAAACATTTATTTAAATGATGAAGAGAAAAAGCTTTTAATTGAATAAAACCATTATAGAAATCAATTAGAAATTTCAGTTTTGAAAGGCATAGACAATGTTATTAAACCTGTTGTAACATTATTTTAGAATTAATTACCAAATAATAAATTACCTGAGATAATAATAAAAGCTAGATAATTTATTTATTCAAATGAAATTGTTTTATTATCTAAATAATTTCCAGATCCATAAATGAGTATCTATTATATAAAAATGCTTAATGCATATTTGAATTAAAAAGTAAATAATAATACAAGTCTAAAATAATAAGTATAACATTAAACTTTTAGATAATTAGAAAATGTTGGTTAAGATATTTAATGTTTTATGCAGAAATAAACAACAATTTAAAATATTTAATAAGAAGATGAAATAAAAATAAATATATAATAGGAATAGATTGAAGATTAATAATGTGATATTATAGTATAAAATAATGAATCATAAATGGAATTAGAAGAAATAATAAATTAAAAGCCTAAAGAGATTAAATTAAAATTGCATTCTCATCCAAATAAGATTTATTTTTCTAAAATAGATCCGAAATGCAATTTGAATTCAACTCCATAATTATCTTATGATGAAATAATACAAAATTTAGAATTATAAAATTAATTTAATAAATATCCATAACATTACTGTTAATAAACAATAGATAAATTTGAATTGTTTTTATAATTAATAAATGAATAAACTAATTAATGGGATTTAGCAATAAATAATAAAGATGCTCAAATCTATAAAACTTTTAGAGAAGGATCTGACTCTGTATTTATTAAAGGATTTGGAATAATAAAAGATGTAAATATATTAATTAATCATTAAATAGACAACATTAGAATTAGCATTAAAGGTAGTTTATGATATTAATTTGAGAAGATAATGGTAATAAAAAATAATAATTATAATAGGGATAAATTATTAAGAGATTTCTAAATAATTAAAACAGAATCTGAAGATATTGATATAGTTGCTTATTATGTACAACCTCCAATAAGCTTAGTTACTCCAAGAGAATGGGTTTAAAGAAGAATTTTAAGATATGATTTTCCATAAAAAGGATAAATCACTTTGATATTTTATTCTATTGATTATCCTTAACATCCAATCAATAAAAATAGAATTAGAGCACATACTGAAATATCATCAATGATATTTGAAAGTTTTGAATAAAATAATGTGAAAATCTCGATTTGTTCAAATAATGATATAAAAGGATATATTCCAAAAATGATTGTAAATAGAGCAAGTGCAAGTGGACCTGTGGATTGGTTTAAGAGTTTATAGAATGCTTGCAATAAATATAAATGATTTTTTATTTATTTATTAATAATTTTATAAATATATATATATAATAAAGATATACATACATGAATGTTGAAATTAAATAATTAACATAATTAAATTTTAATAAAAGTTAATGACAAAAGCAGAAAAAGCAGCAATAATATTTGGATTAGGATCAACAGCACTTTTAGCAATATATTCAATAGTTAAACCAAGAATGAGTTAAGGAAATAATACAGAAAGTTTAATATAAAGAAGAAATGCAATTCTTAATAAAGATAATATGAGAGTACTTTATAGTACAATGACTTTCTTCTATTTGCAAGGATATAAAAAGACAGGAGAAGATTTAGCATTATTAAAAGAAGTCTTAGATGTTGCAAAACCTAAATTAGTTGCATTATAAATATCAGAAAAATAATTAGAGGAGGAATATAGACCTATACTTAGAAATCCTCATCTTTAAGAAATTATGAAGAAAGTAGATTATCATTTAAAAACCAATCCTGAAGAAGTAACTAAAATGAAAGAACTTGATTTTTATGCAGGATTAGAAAATATTTATGCTATGCATTATTGTTAATAAAATAGCTGTAAAGTATTTAAAATTAATAATATAGATTATCTCTGCTGATGAACATCCATCATATTATGATTAATTGTATTCTTAAAAAATAGGATTAAAAGAAGTTACCAAAAGTGGTAAATTAGAAATACCTGAAAATCTAAAATAATTATATCAATCATATGATATGAGTGATCTTGAAAAAACAGAATAAGATATTAAGGAAGATATTTATGTTAAAAAAAGAGCTGATATTTTTGTTGATAAAATTGTACATGAATTAACTCCTACCTTTAATATTATTCCTGATGTTCCCTATAAAGTTTTAGTTGGAATTGTAGATCCTAAATTATAAAACATTATTGCTAAAGAATGGAAATAAAGATTCCTTAGTATCTATGGACATCAAATTTTAGAAGATGAATAACATAATTAACAACAATCATAGATTTAATGATTTTTATCTTTTATATTATTATTATTATTTATAATTATTCATTATTTAACAAATATAATATCTATATCTATTTTTTCTTAAATAATTTATTCTTAATATTTTTGAAAGGAATTTTAAAGTTAAAGATTAAAATATGAATAAAAATAGTATGTAAATTTTTTCAGGGTATTCACAGTCTTTTTTTAAAATATTTAATATAATATTAATTCTAAGATAATTAAACTAGATTTAAAATAATAATAAGTGTTTCCTCATTTAAATTTCAGAGGAGAATGACTATGAAAACTTATTTGATTATAAGTTAACCATTAATTATTTATTATTTATCTTGTTCTATCATTTATTAACTGTGAATTTAATAGAATTTAACTTAAGAAATTTAATATTTTATTTTTATTTTGTGATATAATTTTATAATTCTTAAAAATAAAAATAAGGTATTGTTATAATATTTAAAATTCTATTAAAAATTATGATGGTTCCTATGAAACTTAAACTAATCCAATAAGATTTCTTTTGCGCAATTGAATTACCCACTGATACAATAGTTGAAGATGTTATAACATATGCTCAAAATATATTCAATACGTAAAACATTTTTTTTAAAAAGTGATTTGAAAAATCAATAATGGACTTGTTATTCAGAAATAAGAGCTTGCTTTTTGGATTCATATTAAGAAGTTGGATATTTCCCTAATGATACTTTAACTCTTGATTTCAAACATTAAAACTAATTCCTTTAAAATTCTATAGTATATTAAAGCTTAAAAAATTCTTAAATATACTTTCAGAGCCAAATAAACACAACTAGCACAATGTCTATTATGGATGAAATAAAAAATTCGTCAGAATAGATTGTTATAAGTGTTTATTTTTGTTAACATACAATATAATTATAAGTATCAGAAGATTTAACAATATGTGAAATTTTAGAATTTCTGCTACTAATTTAAAAGTAATAAATAAATAAATTTAGTGTAAAAGATAATTTAGATGAATTTAGATGCTATTCACAAGCAAGAAATTGTTTTTTAAATTTAGATTAAAAATTAGGTTTCTACCCTGATGATGAACTAATATTTAGTTAAAAACAACAGAGGAGTGAATTTTTGTTTTCATCTGATGATTAAGATCTTTAATTATAATATATTTAATTTAAAATAGATTAAGGAGACCTCAATTAAATACATGTAAATGCTCAAACTAAAATAATAGCTTTATTAGTTTAAATTTAGAATTAATAAAAGTAATTAATTTCTAATTTTTAGTTTAAACGGAAATATTTAAGAGTGGACATGTTATTCAGAAAAAAGATGTTGTTTTTTAGATTTAAATGAAAACTTTGGACATAATTCAAATGACATTTTATCTATTTCTACATAGAATAGGGTGAAATGTTATTAACTATCAAAATGTCTTGAATAAATGAAGAAGTAAATAAACAAGAGATTTGAATAAATACGATAAAATTATTTATAGGAGTTAGAAGAAAAAGAAAAATAACTTACAGATTTACTTTTTAAAGATCATAAAGAAATATTTTAAATGGCTTTTTCACCAGTAACCTTAGAAAGCACATACAAGTTAAATTAATTCATTGAGACTAAAAATAAAAATAATCACTGGATTATAGATTAAATTTAAAAATTAGAAGAATTTTCTGAAATAGAAATGTTGCAACTAAAAACAATATATAATAAAAATGATTAAAATCAATATTTTAATTTATTAGTTGAAAAATCAACTACCCCAAAAGAGTTATATGAATACCTGGAAGAAAACTTTTTTTTAAATAAACCATAATAAACAAAAAGTGATAATATTTCATGGTTTATCTCAAAATATAACAAGGTAAATGATATAAACAGTTCATTAAATGTAGAATTATAAGCTGGGGATTTTCTTTTTATTGGACCATATATTTTAGAGATTTCTTAATGTTTTAATAACAATTATTTAATGAAAATTCCAAAGCCCTAAATAATAGCTAGAAAGCAGAATTTGTAATAAATTAATTGATAATTTACATAATAAGTTAATAAAATTTAATATCATTCTTAATATATACTTAGATTGACAAGTCAAATAATTCTCATTATTATTATGTAGTAAATATGAGATTTATTAATTATTTTTTTAATTAATTTTAGTGTAATTCTATTAAACAATGACATCCAAATCATTGTTAAAACTTATTCATCTTTATCTTCATGATTGATTTAAAAAAGAAATCAATATATATTAATAAGGCTATCACAATTTCATATATTTAAATAATAATTATTTATTAGAAATAAAAGATAATTATTATGGTATAAATAACTATTAAACCATAAAACTTAAGCGGTAATTTAGTCATTGAAACTTAAATCACAATCATGAATTTATTCTAAAAGCTTAAAGAAACTTATAGGTATATAATTTTGATATTTTGATTACAAGGAAAATTTGATGATTGGATTTGTTATTCTGAAACTAGAAATTAAAAATTAAATGTTTCTGAAATAGTCACAGAATTTACAGATAATAAATTGATTATTTATACCTATTAATCTCACTAATAAAACAATTCTAATAAATCTGTAGGATCCTCTGAAATAACTTTATATCTTAATATAAATTGCAATAAAGAAAATAAATAAATAATAAAGACATTTGCAAAAACTACCACTATTGCTGATATAAAAGAATTAGCCTTAGTAGAATATGATCTACTATTTGAATAGTATTTTTAATTATTATCCACTGTAGAGATTGTAATATATAAATAAAACTATTTGGTTAACCCTTAATTTAGTAAAATTTAGATTAAACTACTTTATAATCAATGTTTCTTCATAATTTTTAAACTTTTGATATTAATTTAAAATCATAATAAAAATTTCGAAAAGAAAATGATTTATTAAATGAATTGAGGAATTAGAAAGATATGCATTAAAAGCTTTAAAAAAATATTATAACCATTTTTAAAAATATAAAAAATAGGGTTGATATTATTCTTAACCATACATTAGATGAATTGATTCAATTAATAAACAAATTAGGAGAAATAATTTTTTAAGCTGAAAACAATATTTAAAATCTCAAATAATAATATTTAAACGAAGATACAATTTTTCCACTATCAATCTGTTAAATTATTCTCAAAGTTGATTAAGTCAATACTTTTATTAGTTAAATAGAACATTTGACTAATACATACACTGTCGAAGCTTTAGAGATTAGTAAAGAATTGTTTTTTAGATACTAGAATATTAAATAATTAGAAGTTTAATAAAATGTGACTCTTTTACAAATTTTATAATAAGAAAAAATAGATTAAGTGGTAATCATTTAAATAATTATAAGTCTTAAAAATCTAAACTTAGTTTTTCAAATAAATTAATAAATTAAATAGATTTAAATGAGATAATTAAAAATCTAGTAGATCACATAGTGTATATAGATCGTTGTAAAATTGAAATAAAATAATTAGGAAATAGTTATTAAGCTTGGATATTTTAGTGAGAAAAATTAAATATTCTTTTTGATTTCTGTTATTAATTAACAGATA